ATTCCTTCCATCTTCTCTTGATGCTTTCTGCATCATTCAATAATATACCCAGAGAAATCTTTCAATAATGGAAATTGAGGCTTGAATTTTTTCTTCAGTTCCCCCAATTTGAGAAATGGGGAACTGCCACTCCTTGGAAATCCCTAAACAGACTCAACAGCACTTAACAACAGCAACAATTGTCTGCCAAGTGATTTCCCCTCCGTCTCGCTCCCATCCTTGGCAAGTCCAATGTTGACCCTATAGCACCATACCAGGAGTCCCTGGTATATTTAGTGCAGGAGTGCTGGTGGCACTGTTGAATAAGCACTAGACTGCTAAGCACAAGGTTGGCAGTTGAAACCCACCAGTGGCTTCACACATAGATGATAACGCTTTCTACTCTCATCACGATTTACAATATAGGACTGCTATGAGTCGGGTATTAAAAGTACTGTGGACTGCCACAAGGACAAACAAGTCTGTCTTGGAATAAAAGCACCCAGAATGTTCCTTAGAAGCCAGGACAGCAAGACTTCATAGCTTATACTTTAGATTTGTTATCAGGAGGGACCAGTTCCTGGAGAAAGACATCATGCTTTGTAAAATGGAGGCTCAGTGAAAAAGAGGAAGACCCCCAATGAGATGGACTGACACAACAACAACACAACAATTGGTGCTGGGGCAGCACCGGGCAGTGTTGCATTCTGTTGTGTAGAGAGTCGCTATGAGTCAGAAGTGACTCACCAGCACTGGACAATAGCAACAGAAAAATTGTGATGGCACCTGATGGAAAGGAGCTATGGGTTCATCTCCGGGTCCTTTAGAGCATCCCGGAGAATGAGCACCCTGGGTCAGGACCGATACAGACCTCAAGGTGTTGAGCTACGCCACACTGGCACTGTGACCACAGCAAAGGGAACAAACGCGAGTGCACAGGAAGGCAGCATTTGGCTTCAAAGTCCAGTTACATGCTCAAAACAGGGAAAGAAAAATGACCAGCTCTGTTGAGAAGGAAGGAAGGCTTTCGGCATGGTTGTGGTGGTGCAAAAGAGAAATCCCAGTTCCTTCTGGAAATTGTACAGGATCAGCTATGGGAACAGAGAACCACCAAAACATCCCCATGGAGGGAAACTAGGAGCCAAATACCCCCCAGGTTCAGCAAACCAATGTAGAGTGGATCAGTGCAGAAGCTGTGTGGTGTCAATGACAGTAAAAGGAAGCCCTGCGTTTCTAAGGAGACACCAAGTTGGCCAGGGTAGCATATCTCGGGAAACATCAGCTGAAGTACATTCCTTGAAGATCCACTGCCA